TACAATAAAGTTAGTTCATTTTTAGTGATTCATGATTCATTATGTATAATGTGAACATCATACATTACGATTAGTTCAAAAAGCATGGTTTCATTTTATATAATCTTCGGGATGACCAAACATCATCTCTATCAATTTTACATTATGATCAACATTGTACATTATGATTAGTTATCATTAATTAAACCATGATTTTATTGACTAATTACAAGTGTTAATTTAAGTAAAATTTCAAATTTTTGTATAATACAAATATGATTGTACAATATGATTAGTTAAAAATTAAAATTTTGAATTTCTTAATTTACATGGCGGCTAGGGCTTTTAGATTGGAACAAATCGTATAGTACGAACTTAATCATATAATATGATTAGTTTATAAACATTAATCATTCAATCAACTGTTAAACCAATTCTTTGTATAACTGATTGAATAGTATAATTATAAGTCATACAATATACTTAGTACAAAAAATAATAACTTTAATTTTTTTCTCACTCCCCCTGTGTATGTGTGCATGGTCAACCAATTGCATACACTCTTATATGGCTAGACTTAAGAAATAGAAAATAAAAAATTTAATAGTATAATCTCTTTTACATGACATTTTATACTACCAAATCTTGTGTTTAGAAGCCTTGAATAGTGTATATTTTACCTACAATATTAGTACTCATAGATAAAAAGAATATCAAAAATATCTATTAAAAAATAATAATTCAATCAATAATATTTTTATCATCAAAAACACAGACTATTTATCCTGGATTGTGATAATCTCCCCCTTTTCATGGCAAATAGTTTTGTTTCAGAGGTAAAATAAATTTTTTTTTTCTCTTAAGCTCCCCCTCAATGGGTGATAAATTTAAAAATTAGGGGTTCAAAATATTTTTTTTAATATAGAGAAATAAAATGACAAAATTATAGGTAAAAAATAGAATTCTACTTCAAAAAAAATATACAACCACATATACAACTAAAACATACATTTTAACCACATTTTGACATCACTAAGAATGGGTAGAACATGGAAAAAACAAGATAAATATTACAATACCTAAAATTAATATACCATAGCGAACAAGAACTAAAAGTAAGACGGATCCTGATCAGGTGGTGGTGGTGGTTATTGTTGGAAATAGTTGTGAATGTAGGAGATTTATTGTTGGATTAAGGAGAATTGTTCCCCAAACCATGCCATATCTGTCTCGTGATGTTGTTGTTGTTGGCTGGATGTTTCACAAACTTGTGGTTGGATGTTCTTGATGGTAAACTATAGAAATCTTATGCGACCCTATATAATTTCCTTCAAAACTCAAATAGCTGATTCTAGCTAGATCAAAAGTTTGACAGTAATTATTCTCTCTCTCTCTATCTCTCTCTCTCTCTCTCTCTCTCTCTCTCTCTCTCTCTCTCTCTCTCTCTCTCTCTCTCTCTCTTGATGATTTGGGAGTTTCTTGTATAATGGAAGGCTATGAGGAGCTATGGAAGAGCTAGGGAGGTTGCAAGGGGACTAGAGAATCAGATTTATCAACCTGAAACCATTGGGAAGTGGTCGTATTTATAGGAGAGAGAAATATGAATAGAGGGTTGATGTTTTTTCACCTAAGCTAAGGCAGACAACCATTTTAGTTAGGGACTAACCACTGGGATCTTAGGGAAGGTTCTTGAGAATTTAAAAGAATGTGGGTTTTTATTCGGAAAGTTATGGTTAAACAAACTATTGGAGAGAGGTTATTTTAAGTAATATTGCCACCTCAGCTACTTAGGTGGCAAGGGATTGGCATCAAATGCTATAGGAATGTTCTAGAGTTTATTCAATGCATTAGCTAGGTCCAAGTTGGTCTAGGGTAAAAAAATATAGGTTTTCGAGAGATTGATTCAAGCCATACTTTTGAACCAAGTCAGACCATGGGTTTAAATTCATGAAGTGTGTACATGGGGTTAATACCCATCTACTACAATAATTTTAAAATTTTATTTTGACAAGGGGAGTAGTTTAGATTAATAAAATCTTATTTTAGCACTTATTCCAACTTTATTAATCAAACCTGGTAGTCCCAAGTCTTAGGAATTGTTTAAGGGACTCATGTTGACTTCATAAATAACCCTTAATAGTTTGGATAAATTATTTGGTCAAAATAATAAGAAATTAATTTTTAAGTGTATAGGGTAATTTTTGTCAACAAGGGTTGACCTAGTTAACCAGGTTTGTCCACGATCAATGATGGTTTCTAAAATTTCAGGGAGGTTGTAAGACCTAGGCGCACCAAAAGGGGGTTAATTGCTACTTTTAAAAAAAAGTTAAATGCTATAATAGTTATACCATTTTTTTTTATGCTTGAAAATAGGGAAAAACACTGCATAAATAACTTAACACATGCTGAAGCGAATAAGAGTTTAAAATTTTTTTTTTTATTTTGAAGCACAAATATATCAATCAAAATATGAAATTTTTTCTTTTAGCAAATCACAAATTAACCTAAATGTAGTTGATAATAACAATGAATTTCATGCAGTAAATTTAAAGTGTAAAAAATTCGAAAAAGTAAAAACAAATAAGAAAGAGCATACCAAAAATTTTATAGTGGTTTGATCAACCTTGACATATGTTCACTTCCTGGAGACAAGCACTCCGGGTATTGCACTGATGCTATAATGACTATCATTTTGTCCCCACAGCAAGTCAAATAAACCCTTACAAGAATCACTTCCTCTAAATCCGATGTGGAGGAGAATCAAAACTTATGTCACCATCCTAGTGACGATAGCGGACCTTCAATTCTTTTTTACCCTCTTGGTGAATGCAGAGAACCTAGAATCCTTCATCATCATCCTAGAGATGGCAGAGAACCCCGAGCCTCTTTCACCCTCTTAGTAAAAGTAGAAAATCCTAAAAGCTTGACTTTGAAGCTTCTCTCTCAAGAGAATCTTCAAGAATTCACCAAGGCCTCATGAGGAAGATAGGTGCAAGCTTACATGGAGCAACCGTTTGAATACCCCTCACACTCCTCCCTCACACAACCTCGCCTTCTTCTTCCTCCCTAAGTCAAAATTCTATTAAGAACAACATCCCTAAGAGTTCCTTCAATAGTCAAAGTTCTTATTAAAATGGATTTAAAAGGTTGTTTAGGTGCGAGGCTTAAAAAACCCTAAATTTTTAATTTGCTCATCTCTATTCTTACGGTATGAATTGGGTTCATACATTATGATCAGTTCAAAAGCAAGACTCGTCCCATTTGTTGAAACAGTAATTCAGATAAATTGTTCCATTTCTGCAAACATATCACACAATACGATCATAAGTTCATACGGTACGATTAGTTTAAATCTTCTTTGTTCGTATAAGATGATTACATGTATGATAAAAAATCATGCACGTCGATCGTTCAGTATGATTAATATATGACTTTACAGTCAATGTAATATCAATAGTTCATACAGTATGATATATATATCATATTATACGATTAATTTAAAAATTAAGGTTTTAATCTGGTACGATCTCTAGGACGATCGAATTTCATCTTTGTCAATCATAACCATTCATTCTAGTATTACTTCACTTCGCAACTGCCCTTGAGAAGCTTATCCTGATCAGGTATATTTGCGCAATTGCTTTGATTATATTAATGCTTTCAGTATTATTATTCTTTTATTCACCAACAAATCTCTAAATTCATCATTTCAGTGCACCGTACTGGAGGCAACTTCACATTTGTCAATGGTTCTTGATTGGCCACTAAAATGCCCCAGGTTCATGGAAGCATTTAGGATTATATGACAAGACAATACAAGCCATCAAATATGATTTGATTATACAAACTGATTTGATTAGGCAACTTTACAACTCATAGAATGGACTACTTCCTGCAACTATTAACTTCAAAAATATTAAATTTGGCAGCTATAAATCAAAACTTTTAAATATAACTTTGATTAATAAATGTATTAATTTTTAAAAGAAAAAATAAATTGTTCTGAGTCGCCAGTTTGACGGGCGTCTTATTTTAACGGGAGACTTTGCCTAATTTAATTTTTTTTAATCATTGGTTAAGCAACTTATGTAAATTTAAATAGTATTTAGTTTAAAAACTTGCCCCAAGAAAAAAACCAGTGAACAAGCCACACTTGCATTAGCTCAAAACTTCTAATTAAAGGGAGTTTTGGGCTTTTAGCCAGGACTTAGATGAGAGATTTTCAGATATAATATATTTAAAATAAGCACATCAAGTTCCATTCAGAGTAGCACATTACTAGGTCATGAGCATCATAGCCCCAAAAACAAATGGCTGAGACAATCCCATCACAATTTTCATCACAAAAAAATATATATATATTGCAAAGCTGACACCAGAGAAATAGTAAGCAATCGAAATATCAAAATTAGCAATGACACCAAAGAGAAATAGAAAGCCTATTAACTGAGATTGTTTGCCCAAAGAGCATAGCAACGCATTCAGAATGCTTTTTATTCTCTTAGATATTCTCGCCAAAAGAACTCACTATTGGTATTTATTCTCAATACAAAACATGTCCAAAATTTGTAGGACTGAAGCCAATTTTACGCATAATTCCGCTACTATACACTAGCTTCAACGAATTCAATTAATACTTTATTATATAATTCAATTAGGTTATCAATTTTTAATCATCTATCTCAAGCTTCCTACAGTAAATTTTTTTATGAATCTTCTCCCTCTTTTAAACAGTTTCTTTAGAACTCAATGTTTTAGATTGAGCAAATTATTAGAGAATTCTAGTGAAATTTTGCCTCCATATCTGACCACTAAAGGCTAATATAGTCGAAAAGTTACGTTCTGTGCCTTAAGAGTTATAGAAAATGCATTAAACCAATGTTACTAGCAACAGCCTAATAACAGATTAGTTGTTCTTTAAATCAATCCCAGTTATGACAAATACAATTGAGTTTTAGATTGAGTGTTCAACACAAATTATCGTTAAATAATAATTATTATATGATAACATATCAAAAACATTAGAAAAAAAATCATAAATGTAATCTAAATAAAATAAATATCGTACAACGACAACATGGTCTTCTATCTTGTCTGACCAATTCATATATTTTGCTCATGTTCAGTCTTAGCAACTTTTCTGATTTGATGATATAGAATAGTGTGAGCCAATACGATCAATTTTATAAGCTCACAATCAGTTGAGATCCTTCAATAAATTTTCTCGCCTAATACTACCAGAAATCAGAACATGAGCAATTCCCCCCAATAAAGTGATGGAAGCAATTGAGATCCCTCAACACAATCACTCTTTCATACACCTTAGCAACCAGTTTCAAGACGCTATGGCAATCCCCACAAATCCTCAAATTCTTATAAACTCGTATGGGCTTACATATAGGGTTGCTCATCAACCCAAACGCCACTGCGAGCTTCTCACTGTGGTGCGCTAGCCCCCTCTCTTTCTCCTCTCTTGTCACATCTTGTAGAGCCCACTTTGTGTCAACCACATACCCCTCAGCTCGCACTCGCTCTAGCATCTCCCTAACTTTCTCGTATATCTCCGTCGCCCTCGGATGACCTTTGTCCTCTGCGTGGAACACGTATACTTTCCCCTCTTCCTCCATCCAACTACAGCCGGGTTCCTTATACACCCTATTTGCACGCATCATCCCCCTCATTTGGGCCGCCTTTGCCCATTGACCAGCCCAAGAGTACATGTTTGATAGCATCACATATGATGCTGCATCATTTGGATCCAATCGTAGCACCTGCTTCGCCGCCCACTCTGCCACATCAATGTTGCGATGCATTGCACTTGTCGCTAGCAATGCCTTCCACACAGTCAAATCAGCAGCTTGACCTGCCTGACACAATAGCTCTATCGCCTCGCTAAATCGACCAGTCCGACCTAACAAATCCACCATGCACGCATAGTGCTCAGGTCCAGGGGATACCCCATAGACCTGCTCCATTGACTCAAAGTATGTCCGACCGATCCACACCAAACCGCTATGGCTACAAGCGAACAAAAGACCAATAAAGGTCACATAGTCTGGTCGAGCCCCTTCTCGAACCATGCAGTCGAAGAGCGGGAGAGACTCGCAGCCTCGACCATTGCGAGCATACCCCATGATAATAGCTGTCCACGTAATTGCATCTCGCCAGCTCATTGAGTCAAACACCACACGCGCTTCATCGGCACACCCGCTCTTAGCATACATTGTAACAAGGGCATTGCCAACCGAACGGAATGATTCAAGACTCAGTTGGATTGCTAGCGCATGAGCCTGTGTACCCAGTTCAAGAAGAGTGAGTTCGCCGCAAGAACTGAGCACACCGGAGAGAATGAACTCATCCGGCCTGACCCTGGCAGCTCGCGTCAAGCAATAGAGCTGGAGCGCTGACTCGTGAGAGATGTGGCGAGCATAGCCATTATACAGCGCAGTCCATCCAACAATATCCTTGTGCGGCAAATCCTCGAACATCTCGAGGGCGATCTTTGGTCGCCCACACTTGGCGTACATATCGATGAGGGCGTTGCCAACATGCTGATGGTTGGTGAAGCCCGTCTTCAAGATCAAGCAATGGAGAGCGCATCCATTGCATAGATGTCCAACAGAAGCAACGGAATTGAGCGCTGAGGGGTGTGTGAACTCGTCTAGTTTGATATCTCTTTGGCGCATTTGAAGGAAGAGGAAGAGTACGACCTCGTGGATCGCCGCGCGGGAGCATGCTACTATGAGACTGTTCCACGATACCGGGTCATCGTGCTCCGCCGACTCAAGAATCATCTTTGCATCAGAGATGTAGGAGCACTTGGCGTATAAGCTCACCAGCGAGCTCTGGATGAACTGGTTAGTGTCGAGCCCTGTATGAATCGCCACGGCATGGATCTGCTGACCGAACCCAAGAGCAAGTTCAGAAGCACATGCCGAGAGGACGCTCGGAAGAGTAAATTGGTTTGGATACATATCCTTAGCTCGCATTAGGCGAAAGCAGTCCATCGCAATGAAGTGGTCGCCATTATTTACACGGGCTGAGATGACAGCGGTCCAGAGAACCCGGTTGGTCAGATGCTCTATTGGAACGGAAGCGAAGACCGCGCCTGCAATGGCAGATTCGCCGCATTTGGAATACATGTCCACTAGGGCGGCGGCTATAAAGGAATCGGCGTCGAGGGAGGACTTGATCGCGAGAGCATGGCCGAGAAGACCTACGATGATGGAAGGGAGAGTGGAGCACGCACGAAGCGAGGCGCCCAGAGAATAGGGATCGGGGCGGATGCCGGCCGCAAGCATGCTGCGGAAGAGGAGTAGGGCATCAGCAGCACGGCCGTGCCGTGAAAAGCCGGAGATGAGGGAAGACCAGGGGATTGAGGAGGAGTGAAGATGAGGGCAGCTGTGGAAAAGATGAAGAGCGTCGGGAAAGAGGCCGGAGCGGGCGTAGGCAGAAATGAGGGTGTTCCAAGAGATGGCATCTCGGTGGGGCATTTCATCAAAGAGACGCCTGGCATCGCTGAGCCGACCAGACTTCGAAAGGAAGTTCAAGCGTCTGTTGCAGTCAAGAAGAGTGTTTAGAGATCGGGGGCATGATTGAATTGTGAGGGAGGCGTAAGAAGCGACGCTCATGCTAAGGGAAAAAGAGCGGTGGGTTCAAATTCACCCGGGTTAATATATGCCGGGTTCCTTTGAAGGGAGTGCGGGTAGGTTTTTTCAAAAGATGGAATGTGAGGGAGTTTCTAAGCTATGTTTTGAGGAACTTTTATTATATCCAGTGAACGTACGGTCCTCTACGTTCGGTTTTAGATCAAAACAGCGCAAAAAACTCGGTACAACTCGGTACTCGGTATTGCGCTTTTTTTGCCTACAACCGAACGTAGAGGAGCGTACGTTCACCGGATAAAATAAAAGTTCTGTTTTGAGTGTGATAAAATTGGGCACTTTAAAATCAATTGTCCTAAAGTGTGTTTGGAGGTGGCTAAGGATGGTTTGGGACCGGAGCTTTCTAAGGATGTTGTGGTATGAGCTTCTCGAGGAGGTGTGGAAGGTGGTAAGGAGAATATTGGTGTTGGATATGGGCCTTGGTTACATGTTAACTATGGTAAGGGAATGTTCAAATTTGCTGATAGGAGGTTGAGAAAGCAGAATGATGTTAGTAATAGTAGGAAAGTTCATGTTTATGTAGCAAAAAAAAAGTCTTCTGGTTGATTCTAAAGTGGATGTTGATCCTATTCAGATGGTTGAGATTGGCCGTGGATCTTCATCTGCTCGGACTGCGGTGTTGGATGATGATTCTGTTCATGAGGATGAAGGCTTTGTTGGTCAAGATCTTGAAGTTTTGCCTTCTGGCGTTGTTGTGTGTTCTGGAGGTAAGAAGTATGGTAAGCCTTTATCTGCTCCTGGTGTTCTTACTGGTAATAAGTTTGAGTGGCTTTCTGGTATGGAAGAGGAGGGGGGTTCTGGGGATGTTGAGTTGGTGGGTAATTCGGGTGGTATTGTGGAGGAGGTGGTGGGTTCTCCTAATAAGGGGAATCATGGTTTATCTGGGGTGAATTCGGTTGGGGTTGGAGTAGGTGTAGGGGGTGTGGTTTTGGAGAAGAATTTTGGTAAGGAGGAGAGTATTTTTGTACATAATGATGTTGTTGATGATTGTAGTTCATTCAGGTATAAAGTTAAACATCAAAAAGAACTCAAATCTATTGGATCATTTAATATCATTACTCGAAGCACGAAGAATGAATTTGGGAAGAATAAAAAGGAATGGGGTCCTTCCCCCTTTATCTCTTAATGACCTCTATTTCTTTTTGGAATTGTAGAGGGCAAAGAAGGAGGCCTCTATTTGTATCATAAGGAGTTTGTTAAAGATCATGAAGTGCATTTTGTTGGGCTTGTTGAGACAAATATTTCTTCTATTGATAGGTTGCAAATTAATAGATTCTTGGGCATGAATTGGGATTTTTTTCTAGTCCCTTCAGATGGATTATCTGGTGGGATTATGGTCTTGTGGAGATCTAATTTGGCTTTGTTTTTTTGTTATTGAGGCTTCTTCTCAATCTATTATCGGTGAGTTGAATGTGACAAATAAAGAAAGTTAGTTAGTTTTAATGGTGTATGTTAGTAGAGTTATTTATAAAATAAGATCTTTATGGAATAGCTTGGAATTGAATTCATCCAAAGATCTCCCTTCGGTGATTGGGGGGATTTTAATTCAAGGTTCGAAGGACATGAAGATGTTTATGAATAAAAATAACTATCATGAAGTTGGATTTGTTGGTCCTAAATTTACCTGGTGTAACAATAAGATTGAAGGTGCTCGCATTTTAGAGAGGCTGGATAGGTGTTTATTAAATTTTGTGGCTCTAAATTTAATTCATTTTTCTTCTATAAGGCATCTTTCTAGGGTGGCTTCAGATCCCTGTCTGATTGTATTAAAGGTATAAAAATCAGTAATTACTTATAGAAGAGTTGTTCGGTACGAAGATGTTTTGTATTCTTTTCATGCAGCATCATCTATTGTTGCTAAGTCATGGAAGAATGCAGTGGGAGGTGATCCAGCACTAGTTCTGAACTTGAAGTTCAAAAGGTCTTTAAGAGCTTTATTTTTTTGGAGCAAAGACAAACTAAAAAACCTAAATGTTTTGAAGGATTCTTTGAAAAGCGAAATATTGGAATTATAATTGGAGGAGGTTGAAGGAAATCTTTCTTATGAGAAATTGGTGTTGTTAAAGGCTAAGCTTAATGAACTTAATATAACTCTTGCTCGAGTAAACACTTGGTGGAAGAAAAGGGAAAAAGATAAATGGATGGAAGAGGGAGATTCTAATACTAAATTTTTTCACTCTTTTGCTAATACTAGGAGGAATGCGAATTGGATTAAGCAAATCAAGGATGACAATAGAGCTTTGATAGAAGATCAAATTGTGATTGATGGTATTATCATGGAGTTCTTCAAAGACAAATGGAGGGAGAGGGTTTGTGTGCTTCAAGACTAGTTGAAACCTATTCTAACACTTTGAGAGGATGATAAAGTTAGATTGGATGGTGTTTTTTCTAGAGAAGAGCTTCAGGTGGTGTTGGATAACCTGGGTAGAAATATATCTCCAGGTCTCGATGTAATTACTTTTTTCTTTTATCAAGAATTGTTGGAAGACTATTCATGAAGATGTGTGGAAGGCTATCAACTAGTTTTTTTTAAACAGAATTATGTCTCCTACTTGGAAGGAAAAATTAATTGTTCTAATTCCCAAGGTGAATAACATAATGGTTCATTCTAATTATCACCCCATTAGTCTTTGCTTGTATATTTACAAATTGGTGGCCAAGTTGTTGTTAAATAGATTCGATGAGGATATTCATAAAATTATTTCAAAGAAATAACCTATTTTAGTAAAGGTTCGAAGGACATGAAGATGTTTATGAATAAAAACAATTATTATGAAATTGGATTTGTGGGTCCTAAATTTACCTGGTGCAATAATAAGATCGAAGGTGCTCGTGTTTTGGAGAGGCTAGACATGTGTTTACTGAATTATGTGGCTCTAAATTTAATTCATCTTGCTTTTGTAAGGCATCTTTCTAGAGTGGATTTAGATCACTATCTGGTTATATTAAAGGTATAAAAATCAGTAATTACTTATAGAAGAGTTGTTCAGTACGAAGATATTTTTTCTTCTTATCATGTGGCATCATCTATTATTTCTAAGTCGTGGAAGAATGTAGTGGGAGGTGATCCAGCACTAGTTCTGAACTTGAAGTTCAAAAGGTCTTTAAGAGCTTTGTTATTTTGGAGCAAAGCCAAACTAAAAAACCTAAATGTTTTGAAGAATTCTTTGAAAGGAGAAATATTGGAATTACAATTGGAGGAGGCTGGAGGAAAATTTTCTCATGAGAAATTGGTCTTGTTAATGGCTAAGCTTGATGAACTTAATATAACTCTTGCTCGGCTAAACACTTGGTGGAAGCAAAGGGCAAAAGATAAATGGATGGAAGAGGGAGATTCTAATACTAAATGTTTTCACTCTTTTGCTATTGCTAGGAGGAATGCAAATTGGAATAAGCAAATCAAGGATGACAATGGAGCTTTGAATAAGAAAATCAAGGAAATTTGATAGAAGATCAAATTGCGATTGATGGTATTATTATGGAGTTCTTCAAAGACAAATGGAGGGAGAGGGTTTGTGTGCTTCAGGGCTGGCAAAAACCAATTCTAATACTTGGAGAGGATGACAAAGTTAGATTGGATGGTTTTTTTTCTAGAGAAGAGCTTCAGATGGTGGTGGATAACTTGGGTAGAAATATATCTCCAGGTCTGGATGTAATTACGTTTTTTTATCAAGAATTGTTGGAAAACTATTCATGAAGATGTGTGGAAGGCTATCAACCATTTTTTTTTTTACCGAAATTATGTCTCCTACTTGGAAGGAAACCTTAATTTTTCTAATTCCCAAGGTAAATAACCCAATGGTTCCTTCTAATTATCGCCCCATTAGTTTTTGCTTGCCTATTTACAAATTGGTGGCTAAGATGTTGTTAAATAGATTGGATGAGGATATTCATAAAATTATTTCAAATGAACAAGCTACTTTTATTAAAGGTCACTCGTTATCAGATCATGTTTTAATGGCACAAGAAGTGTTCAATAAAATTTAGATATTCTAAAACTATGAAAGGTTAAGTGGCTATAAAAATAGATATGGAACAAGCTTATGATAGCATGTGGTGGCCGGCTTTGAGGCAATTGCTCAAGTATTTCAATTTTCCTTTGAAGTTTTTTGAACTTGTATTAGAGTGTGTTATTGAACTACAATTCTCTATATTAATCAATGGGAAGAATTCTGATTGGATTGAGGCAAGAATCGGTTTTAGACAAGGGTGTCCCTTTATAAAGTCCCTATAGATTGTTAAACATATGTAAATGTCCCAATGATAAACAAGAGGGGGTGAATTGGTATTTTAAAAAATTCTCTCATATATTTGAGAAATTTTATTTTTATATATTTTTCAAAAATAATTTTTCAACCATAAAATGTAAAAAACTGAAAAAATAAAAGTGTGAAAATAAAAATGAACACAAAGATTTATAGTGGTTCATCCCAACAAGACCTACATCCACTCCCTGAAGACTCCCTCTTCAGGTATTGCACTATTACCAAAGTGACTCTTCTTTTGCTCCCACAGCAAGGCAGAGAAGCCTTTACAATTTTCCTATCATCCACCAATCCCCGATGTGGCAGTACCGTCATTTTTTCATACCCTCCAAGTGTCAGCAGAGTACCGTCGTCCTTTCACTCCCTCCAAGTATTGGCAAAGTACCAGATCTTCTTCAAAGATCTTCTCCCGAGCAACTAGAAAGAAGAATGGAAGATAAGTAACCAAATACAAAAGAGGTTCTTACCTTTGAGTAGCCTTATGAACCCTTCACACTCTACTTGCAAGATCTCTCTCTCAAACACACTCCTAAAACACTCATTCATTTGCTCTCAAAGAAATCATGAAGAACAACACTTTCAAAATCAGTTTCTAAAAGCTTTTTATATGAAATACATAAAAAAATATCCAAAAATTTTGAATATTATCATTTTGAGCGTGTACAATCGTATAGTACGATCGTATTTCGTTCGTTCGAACAGTTTAAAAATTATTGCATATGAACATGTATGAAAAATTTTCAAAAATGATAATCATCCAGTATGAACCTTCTTCAT